GACCGGAGGAGTTGAGAGGGGGATAGGGTCCAGGGGGCAGGTAGTGAGGCGGGCTTTTGAGAGGACTTTGGCGACTTCCTCAGTAGTGACAGGGCTGAGGGAGTGCAGTGCGGGGGGGTTATGGTGGGCGGGGCATTGGGAGAGGAGGGGGGCAGTGCGGTTGTGAGGGCAGAGGAGGGGGGAGATGAAGGGGTGACGGGGGCGAGGAGGCTAGGTGGGGAGGTAGATTGCAAGTTGACGATGTCCTTACGGATAGCGTCAATCTTGTTGTGGAAATGGGTGGCAATCTCGTGGGCGGTGAGAGAGGTACTGAGTGGAGGAGGGGGGGGGGGGGGGGAGGGAGGGGGTGGGAAGGGGGAGAGAGGGGGGGGGGGGGGGGGGGAGAGGGTGTTTATTAGGGAAGGGGGTTTCGAGAACTGGTTGAGGGTACAGAGGTGGGAGAAGACAAGGTCCAGGGTGTTCCCTCCGAAGTGGGTGGAGGATTGAGTGTGCTGTGTGAGCGCGAAGGAGGAGGTTAGGTGGAGGAATTGGGAAGTAGCCGGGGGTGTTGTCGTTGATGGGGATGTTGAAGTCCACTAATAGGACCACTGTGGGTGTGTCCCCATTGCAGCTCACTTGGCAATCGGAGACAACCCTCCCATATTTCTAGATAACAGTCTTTATCTTCTGTCAGGGACATATATGCTGCTGGTCGTTGTTTCCAGAATCCAGCGCTGCTTTCAGCTGGCACTTTATTACAATCCGGGGAGTACTACGATACACATGTGAACACAATGTTTATATCCCCGGGAATGCAGTTTATGTACATCTGATTATTGTTTTATTTATTTTTGCAGTTTGTATTGTTTCTGTTTACATTGATTTGAATACATTTTTGCAGGGAACATGACATCATGGGGTGGGGCCAAGCTCATTTCACTTCGCTCTGATTGGTGGATGGTTTTCTTTAAATAGTTCTCCAGTTTCTATCACAATTTGTCACATGCCTGATGAAGGGTTCCTGCGAGACTCCGAAACGTTGCCTTGCTGTAACTATGTGATGGTTTATTAAAACCTTTGGACCCATATTGGTGATCCTCGGTGTGCTGGTGACATTTTTTTTCTTTCTCGTGTAATAAATAAATCACGTAGTAACTATGTGTGTGCTTGTTTGTTGCATTTAAATTTTAGAAGATAAAACATAACTGTTCCTTGCGGTCTCTGACCTGTTGCAAGGTCCACTGGTTGATAGATAAACTATTATTATTATTATTATACAGTATTTATAAAGCGCCAATAGTTCGCTCAGCGCTGTACATTACAAAGGGGACAGAACATGTGACAGAACAATACCAATACAATGCAAAACATGAGGGGATCGAGGGCCCTGCTCTTTCAAGCTTACAATCTAGGAGGGAGGGGATGGTGGCACAGGAGGAGATAGCTGTGGGGGATGGAGTGGTAGGAAGAGTGGAGGAGGTCGGCAAGTTAGCAGGGGGCGGGGTAGGCTTCCCTGAAGAGATGGGTTTTCAGGGTGCGCCTAAAGGAGAGGAGAGTAGGTGATAATCTGATGGTTTGGGGCAGGGAGTTCCAGAGGATGGGTGACACCCTGGAGAAGTCCTGGAGGCGGGCATGGGAGGAGGAGACCAGGGAACTAGAGAGAAGGAGGTCTTGTGAGGAGCGGAGTGTGCGTGCTGGGCGGGGGGGTACTTGGATATTAGGTCAGTGATGTAGTTCGGGGCAGTATGGTGGACAGCTTTGTATGTCAGCGTTAGGATTTTGAATTTGATCCGTTGCGCAATCGGAAGCCAGTGGAGGGATTGGCAGAGGGGGGTGGCGGAAACGGAGCGGTTGGAAAGGTGAATGAGTCTGGCAGCCGTATTCAGGATGGACTGAAGCGGGGATAGCCAGCGGCGAGGCAGGCCAGTGAGGAGGGAGTTGCAGTAGTCGAGTCGCGATATGATGAGGGAGTGGATGAGCTGTTTAGTGGTTTCTGGAGTTAGGAACGTGCGGATTTTGGCGATGTTGCGCAGGTGGAGTCTGCACGAGTTTGTTAAAGAGTGGACTTGGGGCTGGAAGGATAGGTTGGAGTCCAAAATAACACCAAGTACTCTGGCCTGCGGGGCGGGTTTGATGGTGGCGTTGTTGGACATGATGGAGAAGTCAATGGGGGGTGGTGTCCGGGCTGGAGGGAAGACAAGAAACTCGGTTTTGGAGAGGTTCAGTTTAAGGAAGTGGAGCGACATCCAGTCTGATATGTCGCTCAACAGGTGTGTGATTCGGGCGGAGACCGAGGGGGTGAGGTGGGGGGTTGAGAGATAGATTTGTGTGTCGTCGGCATAGAGGTGGTAGTTGAAGCCGTGAGAGTGTATGAGTCGGCCAAGGGAGGAGGTGTAGATGGAGAAGAGAAGGGGCCCGAGGACAGAGCCTTGAGGGACCCCAACAGAGAGGGGGAGTGAGAGGGAGGTGGTGGCATTATAGGTAACGCTGAAAGAGCGTTGTGACAGGTAGGATGAGAGCCAGGAGAGAGCAGAATCTCTGAGGCCGAGGGAGTGTAGTTTTTTGAGGAGGAGGGGGTGGTCGACTGTGTCAAAGGCCGCAGAGAGGTCAAGGAGTAGGAGCACTGAATAGTGGCCATTAGCTTTGGCGGTTAGCAGGTCGTTGGAGAGTTTGAGTAAGGCAGTTTCGGTGGAGTGTAGGGGACGGAAGCCGGACTGTAGGGGATCGAGGAGGTTGTTGTCGTTGAGGTGAGAGCATAGGCGGGCGTAGACTAGGCGCTCAAGGAGTTTAGATGTAAATGGGAGCAGGGAGATGGGTCTGAGGTTGTTCGGGTCATTGGGGTCCAGGGAGGGCTTTTTAAGTATGGGGGTGATGTGTGCATGTTTCAGAGGGGAAGGGAAAGTGCCGGAGGAGAGGGAGAGATTGAAGATGTGGGTGAGGGAGCGTAGGATGGAGGGGGAGGGAGGTCGTAGGAGGAGTTGTGTGGGGATAGGGTCAAGGGGGCAGGTGGTGAGGTGGGCATCAGAGAGGATCCTGGAGACTTCTTCGATGGTAGTAAGGTCAAAGGTGCGGAGTGTTGGGGGAGCTTCAGTATGAGGAATGTAGGGTGGGGTGGGAGAGGAGGTTAGAGCAGTGGTGGGGGCCGTGGGAGAGGGGTGTAGTAGAGGGGGTAGCTGAGTGTGAGGGGGAAGGGGGTTGGAGGGAGTTTGAGCAGCGACGAAGTCCCTGTGGGTTATGTCGAGGGGGAGGGGGGATGAGGGGGTAGCTGTGTGAGAGGGGACGGGTTGAGACGGCGTGTGAGTTGCGGCAATGTCCTTGCGAATTTTGTCAATCTTGTTTTTGAAGTGATTGGCAATCTCAAGGGCAGTGAGTGAGGTGCTGGGTGGAGGTGGGGGTGGCGAGAGTAGAGAGTTGAAGGCGGAGAAGAGTCGGCGAGGATTGGAGGAGAGGGCCTTGATGAGGGTCAGGAAGTAGGCTTGTTTGGCAGTATGGAGGGAGGAGGTGTAGGTGTGGAAGGCAGATTTGTATCGGGTGAAGGCTTGTTGGGATTTGGTTTTGCGCCATAGTCGCTCCACGTGTATAGTAGAAAATACAGTACATGGAGGGTAATCCGATTCTAGCAAAGAGTAACTTTAAAATGACTAAGGGCCTGTGATGATGGGATCTGGGTTGTGTCAATGGCATCAGTCTGAGATTATTCCGAATTCATTAACGTGCATTAAAACTGAAGACGACCTACTTCTGTTCAGCATTTGACCTGCTTCAAGCAGCTTATGCATTTCCATATACTTGTGTGGGAATGCAAAGGCTGTCTTAAGTGAATCATAACCTCTTGACACCGCCGCCACAAGGTCTTTTGGCCCTACTTTTCCTGGGGATCACAGCAGTGCACTTCATTTCTCCTGAGTCCCATATTCAGCACACAGCAAGCTAAAGTCTGCTGCCGGCTGACATAACTCAGCCAGTCCAGGCTCTGGATAGATTCCCAACATTTAATGTCAGAATCCACCCAGATTCCTGACCAGCAGCTGGCTCAGCCTCTCTGTGTGCTGTTGAAATGCTGAGCCAGCAGCTCTCACCTCCTTCAGTCAGGCACTTCAGTGAACTGTGGAGTGTCAGAGCAGAGAGCTGGTGATTGAGAGTCGCTAGCTGTCTGCTCACTGAAGACCGAGAACTGAGTGATCAGCAATCTTTGATCACTCTGTTCTCAGTGTAGAGAGGGGATCAATGCTGCATCCACCTAGGTCAGGCATGTCCAAAGTCCGGCCCGCGGGCCATTTACGGCCCGGGGGTCGGTTTAATACGGCCCTCCAACAGCCCTCCCTGCTCTGTGTAATGTGGCCCTCCCACGGCCCTCCCTTCTATGGCAGACAGTCTTCTGCTTGAGAGCAGAGGGCAGTGCGCATGCCTGACTGCGGCGCGTTCTCCCTGGTCTGTGTAAATGCGGCTGTCGCACGGCCCTCCCTTCTGTGGCAGACAGTCTTCTGCTTGAGAGCAGTGCGCATGCGTGACTGCGCCGCACTGGGAGCGACAGAGGGCGGGTGACGTCAGGGCCGGGCTTCCAGCGTGAAGTGTGTTTCTCTTCCCCTCCTGGCTGCCGAGCAGAGACTTCAGCTCCAGCTACCTTTTTCACCCTTCACATTAGTGCAGGTAAGTTTTTTTAAAATTTATTTTCAATACATTGTGAAAACTCAGCTGTCAGTTGATCTTAATGTTATGAAATGAAAAGTATGTCGTTTGCAATTAACTTGGCATAAATAATTTATTTGCATTTAATTGTAATGGTTCAAAGAATGTTCGGCCCTCCACCATGTTCACTTCATCCAATCTGGCCCTCTTTGAAAAAAGTTTGGACACTCCTGACCTAGGTGATTATGTTGTTTTTTCCTTTTCCTGCACCTCTCTTTTAATTATAAATTTCTATTCTAAACTACATTAAATTACTCTGACATCAACACACAAACAAAACCACAGTACATCATACTGGCATACAGAGGCAGTTTTAGTCGTACTAATCTTACCGTAAATTGGTAATCGCACAGTCTGGGTGGAGCAGAATATCTTTTATTTCTCTGCAGGAATTGGGTCCTAGTGAATTCATCTGCAAACTAAAAAGAGATGCCATTTTATACAAAACTTGCAATCAGCACCAGACTTCTAACAGTGAATTCTTTACAGGAAAGTACTTCCAGCCTATAAAAGGTTTTGAGAAGGAACACACAAAAGATTGCCATGGCTGATTGGTTCTCTCCCTGTCAATGAAATCTACAAACTGTATATAATTCTGTCACTGCCATGAAGATGTATTACCAGCACCATTCTTTAAGGTGCCAGTGGAGGAACCTGACAAAGGAAATTCTACGCCACAGACACTGTACTGCCACCAGCGTGCCAACTCTTTATTTGTTATAATTCCCAGTGTATAAAATTACAATATTCCCAGAATATTACAAAATAAAGATTTGCTACCTAAACATTTCGGTTCCTCTCCAGATTACCTCCTGACCTTCACAGCCCCAGCAGTAGTTGATAGCAAGACTATGTCAAACTACAATACTATTTACAAATTGTTGTTGGGGGGGTGTGTTTTATTATCAGGCATGAACTAGGACATAGTCAGATCAAGCTATACAGATACAAATACTGTAAACACATGGGACTGTTTGTGATAACATGAAAACCAAAATATTGCAGGATTCATCACCTTCAACTATTAAGAGCTTAAAGTGTAGCTCCACTTTTGCAGTCAAAGTTGAGGAAACCCCACCATGCGTTTGTCGTGTGTTACCATTTATGCAGCATACCCCAAATTTATTATTTTTAAAAAACATTTATCCTTTCTAGTTGTTTCTTCAGAACAGGCTTTTGGGCAGACTTCAAGCTACTCTAAACAATTTCAAAGTGAAAGTGAAGGAATGTAAATGGGGACAGACCAAATTTCCCTCTTTAAGGGCCTTTTTACACTATGTGCAGTTACCTGCATTTTTCCTCAGTGGATGAATGTAAGAAACTGAAATGGCACTTAGAAGACGACAGTCTTTTATGTGTCATGGTCACACTAGAATGCTGAGTTTATAGGTGTTCCAGGATCTTTGCATTTTATCGCACAGGAACAAAAATGAACAAGTGCAAACGTGCATAAACACACTACTCCTCATTGCACCTCTCATCCACAATTGTTAGGTCAATACAAACATGCCTTTGAAAAAAATAAATATGCAGAAAAATGTGTAGAAATGGCCATAAATATGCATGTAAATGGGCAGAAACACATGTAGGGTTAATTGTGGCAAATATCTCCCCCACCCCACCCCCTTTAAAGTGGAATTTCAGCTTAACCTTAAAGTTGTTCTAAAGCCTAAACATTTTTACCTTAAATGAGAAGTTCATCTTTTGATAAAAATAATGAAATGCACATTTTTTTGCAGGTAAAAAAATGTTAATAGCAAAGAAATGGCAAACCCAAATACTCCTGCGCTTAGGGATGGACTCCAAAGGATGGGACATTGAGAATTTCATGGAACATGCACGCCTTGCTGCCCTCAAATGACCGGGGAAGTCCAAATATACTGAGTAGAGAAAAACAAAATGAGGGCACACCAGCTTAGTGCATTACCTTAAAAAATGTGTTTATTAAATGATAAAAGTAGGTATTGTACTCACAAAATGACAACATAATCAAAGGTACATCATACAGGAACAGCTCGGTCCGATTGGCACTAAGAGATGGCTCTGAGGAAGAGGCAAGTCCTCGAAGAGCATCAGCCTGTTGAAGGTCCAGAGTTCCCATCACGGATGCACAAGGATCGGACCGAGATGTTCCTATACGATGTACCTTTGACTGTATTGTCAAATTGTGAGTACAATACCTACTTTTATCATTTAATAAATACATTTTTTTAGGATAATGCACTAGGCCGGTGCGCCCTCTTTTTGTTTTTCTCTACTCAAAAAGATGGTAATGTATTATTTTTGCTGCAGGAGCCTGTAAAGCATTGCACCAGTGCTCAGCACATCGCTGGTGCCATGCAAGTCTCCTGCAGATCTGTCAGTATATCTGCTTGCCAGTACGGGATGTACCAGCAAGCAGATACACTGACAGGAAAATTCAATGAACTACCACGGCACTCCACAGCACCATGGTAGTTCATTGAGAACTACAAGCCAATAGCCGTTAAGGCTGTCAGGACTTGTAGTTTCTCATTCACAGAGTTTTTTCTTTTAATTTGACAGCTAGCAGGGAAGAAGATTGGCGGGGAGCGGTGCCAGTGCTTTCATAACACTTTACACCCTGAATATGGGTGTAACATGTTATGAAAGGTTAATTTATCCTTTAATGCATTACTTGCATTAAAATGGTTTAGGCATCGGTAATGGCCCCTCACCCCCCTCATACTTACCAGAGCCCTCATTCGATCCAGTGCTGTGCACGTCTGCAGCTCTTCCCTCCCCTCACTTCCGGATGTCACAGGGTTTGCTGAGGCAATCAAACCCGGGGACGAGGGAGAGGGTGCAGGGACAAGTCCCACTATATGTGTCAATGGATGCAGCAATGGGGCTCGAGGGTGAGCTCGCATGCGTGCCCCCATGGAAAGCGGCTTCCCATCGGGGTCACTTAGCGGATGGGAAGAGCCAGGAGTGCCAGTGAGGGACCGGAGAAGAGGAGGTTGGGGGTCATTCTGTGCAATTCTATTGCACAGAGCAGGTAAACTAAGTATAGACATATTTGTTATTTTAAAAAAACTTCCTCTACAACCACTTTAACTACTCTTAATAGTAGTAAGTAAATAGTATATACTTACCTATTTTCAGGCCACTTCGGTCACGTGATCCTGTTCCCCTTTGTCAGCCAGTTCAGCTTCAGGGGAAAGGAGGGAGCACAGACAACGGAATGGCCATTGAAACCTATGGGTGACATCCCCGCTTCAGGCTTTTCTAGTCGCTGAAGCGCTCTCTCCTCTCCCCTGTAGCCGTGGCTGCCTGACACAGGAGAAATGATGTGACCGGAGTGGCCTAAAAATAGGTAAAATATATGCAAAGGTGTTAAGAAGGGGGAGGGGACATTTTTTAGGGTTAGTAGTTGGGGTTAAGCTGGAATTCCACTAACATTACATTTTTAAATGTTTTTTAAAGTTATGCTATGTAAATGGAAACACAGAACAAATCCAAAGCCGGTATTATCCTAGTTTGGCAAAATGTAAATACTATTTAATGCAAATATTTATACAGAATAGGAAACACATTTTAACCTACAATAATCACTGATGCTTAACCACCTCCCGTCTGGCCGTTGTATATAAACAGTGCAGGGTCGGGTGGCCGTTTATAAACGGCCTCCCTGCACCCTGCTTGTGCGCACCCCCTGGGAGCACGCAGCACCGCGATCCGGTGCTCGCTGTGTCCTCCGGACACAGTGAAACACCAATCATCCGTGCGAGGTCCCGATCATGTGATCACTGATTAGCCAATCAGTGATCACATGCAGAGTAGTAAGCAAGATGTCACTTGTGACATCATTGCTTACTACGTGTGAAATCTGTGAATGATCACAGAGGTCACATGGTACAAGGCTATTCACAACAGCCTTGTACCATGTGACAAGCTGTGACTAATCACAGCTCACTCAGTAGTTCTCAATGGCTGCAAGAATGCAGCTAGAGAGAAGGAGAAATTATTGCTTGTACAGCCTTTATGGGTGTAAAAGCAATCAGTGTGAAAAAAAAAAAATCTTCATCACTCCCCACAAGTAGTACAGTGTCACCATGGGGACACTGTACTGCTAGGGCAGTGTTTCTCAACTCCAGTCCTCATGGACCCCCAACAGGTCATGTTTTCAGGATTTCCCTCAGATGAAACAGCTGTGGTAATTACTAAGGCAGTGAAACTGATCAAATCACCTGTGCAAAATAATGGAAATCCTGAAAACATGACCTGTTGGGGGTCCATGAGGACTGGAGTTGAGAAACACTGTGCTAGGGTGACAGTATGTAAAAAAAAAAAAATAATATAAAAAAAAATTTAAAAAATGTAAAAAAAAAATGTTTAAAAATATAATTTTTGGTTATAAACTAATTTGGGTTATTTTTTTTTTTTTTACTAAAAATATAACGGAATAAATTTTGGCCAAGATTTATGATGAAATAATATTTACACTTTTTTTCAAAATGTTTGGACATTTAATTTACATAGCAAAAAAAAAAAAAAATCCCAGTGGTGAATAAATACCACCAAAATAAAGCTTTATCTGTCTCAAAAAAATGCTAAAAAATTCATATGGGTCCAGTGTTGGATGACCGCGCAATTGTCATTTAAAGTTTGATAGTGCTGAAAGGTGAAAATTGCCCTGGACAGGAAGGGGGTAAAAGTGTCCAGACAGGAAGTGGTTAAAACTGCAAAAAATAGACTTTAGGCACATAAATCTCTAGAGAATAAAACTTCATGACTAAGTAAAGCAATTCAAACAATCTCAGCATGATATTCAGCTGGCTTTGGAGGCTGCTGTAGAAATGAGCAATTCATATCTGAAATAGAAATGACGAACCTGCACTTCATATCTGCAGCAGTTTGCCCCTCTTTCCCCCTGTGGCAGGTTCCCTTTAAAATAGTTGTCAGGTAGCCATTGGATTAGGCTCCATACAAAGTAAAACGTTTAATAGGAATATTTTTATAGCTTATTTATATCAGTTTTATGTTACACTGTTAATAAGAAAAAAATGTGTTTTATTATAGGCTAACAAATATACTAACATTTTATTATAATTTTAATATGTTACTTGATTTATATTTTAAAACTGCTGTTGTGGAACTGAAGATGCCACTGCAGTGTGATGGTGGCAGTGTTATGGCTTGCTCACGCTAGTGGTGCACTTGACAGGCAGTGATGAGAGATTATGCTGCCTTCTCACCTGTTTTATTCTCTTAAAACCCACACCAAAACCATGTGCATTGCACGTGGTTGTAGGGTGCTTGTGGCACTACCCCATTCAGCTGAACAAGTCATATTCAGTAGGCGGTAATGTCCACCGAACATGACAGGGGCGGCACAGGATCATTTATGCCATGCCATTATACAAGCATCAGCAGCAGCATCATGTGTACCCCCCCCCCCCCCCATCCACTGATTCACAGTGTGTGCAGTTTAAGGGGAAGCAGTTGCAGGTGGCAAAAGCGTGGCTCAACTGCATGTTGTTATCACCTCCTAACTGCAAGTGCAAACCTTACTCTGCAAGCTGAAGGCTTATTTTTCCATCAAGGCTCTAGCCTGCACTAATCAATATGTCATAGCTGACAGTGATCACTTCCCAATCATCAGTGGGGATACAGGCTGTCAGTAACAGCCCAGCCCCCACCATGCATAGTGTCAGCTTATGGATCTCAAAGGAAAAATGCTTACAAACGTGTCCCAAACACAACACCCGTTTATATACAGATTGTACATGGAAAGGGGTTTAATTAGACGGGATGGGATGGGAAGTACTGCAATTTTCAAATATATAGAGCAAACACATAACAATGGGAACATATATGGACTGTAATTTTCATACCTAAGCGCTTTACTTTTATAACACACAACCCTTAATTTGCTTCATTTTCACGCCACCTAATATTGTCACCTAATGTAAATATTTTTTCCTCACTTCACATTCTGGCATCTCCTCAGCAAGGGTGATAGAGTGTGGACGGCATCAGGATCTAGATGGCAGTTACTAAGGTTCATTTCTGCAACTGGTTTCCTAGTATCTCCCATTACCGCAGACACAACAGTACACTTAAGGGGCGTCATGCGGACAGCGGAGAGATCCAGATCTCGTAGTGAACTGACCAAGCCAGCTGAAAATCCTTCATTCTGAAACTCATATAAAAAGAACAAAAAGTCCATGAGCTCAGAGGGTGGCAACTTCTGAAGGCTTTTGCGCAATAGCTCCTTTTTCAGAGCCTTTGTGATTTCAAATGCTTCCATGTTCATTATGGAACACCCAAGCTGGTCTAACATAGAGCGATTTTGACGTGATAGAAGCCCTCCCATAAATATAGGAAATAACTCAAATGCTTCATCTTGGCCAGCATTATCTCCCTCTGCTAGTTGAGAAGGCCCTTCAACACCAAGGATGCTTGAGTTTATCTGGTCCAAAACATCATCATTATAGGAGTCTTCTTTCCCTGAACATTTCTACGGTCATAGTTTGAGCTATGTTGTCACGGTTCTTCCCAGTGACCCTTCCAAACAGCCGAGGAACTACACGTAACAGGTTAAAGAGTGCAAAGATGCGTAGAGGAAGAAATTTGGACAACACATTGACTACTGCAACCACATCTTCTCCAGCTTTGCTGATGATCTCAGAAACGTCTTTTCCTAGGCGTTGCAGAGCAGTCTTATGATCTCCCAATACAAAATAAAGTGCAGCAAGGTACTCCTGCATAGCAGGTATTGTAAAGACAAACATGTTCTCCTGGCCTGGCTGGAGGCAGGGTGTCAGGAAGAAACGGAAGGCATCAGACCGGAAGACATTTAGAAGATTGAGCTCCTCCTCGCTATTCATTTCCACATGAAAACACTTTGCAACATCATCTTCAGTGAAACATGTGCGTCGTGACAGACAGCCTTCATATGCCAATTTACCTACAGTGCGTGCTACATAACGCATGAGAGATATCTTAGAGGGATGTGTTATATCCAGCACTTCTCCAGCAAAATTAAGTCTCAGGAAGATTGTATAAATTCCAGTCAATGTCATAGGGGGATCACCTGGTTTGGAATAGTACAGCAAATGTAATGTTGCACAGGTTAGCCAGCAGTATGAGGGCAAGAAACATGCTGCAGACAACTGGCTATGATGTTCTAAATTGCGACTTAACATCTCTGCCAGATTTTCTGTTTCTCGAGGATCTGCATCTTTATGGCCCAGGCGCACTTGGAAGTACATCTTCTGTAGCTCCGTGTCAGAAAAGCCACAAATCTCTACATACCGTCCCACATACTTCCTTGGGATTCTCTTAAGGGCAGAAGGACGAGTGGTGACCAGGACTCTTGCCTAAAAAGTAAAAGAAGCATTTACTGTTACAATGATCTAATTTTGCTTTAAAAGAGTCACATTTTAGGATAACAAAGAGAAACTACTTAATTACTTGACAGAGTTGTAACAACTTAGGGGAATAATAACACCTTGAAAACTCCATTTATTTTAGAAGCGAGGACTGACGATAGCGTCATTAACAAAAAGATGCATCTTTAATGCTGGCCATAGATGGATTGAATCTCGGAGGATTAGCAGGGTCCGGCCGAGATTCGATCCATCTATGGGCAGGCTGGTGGTACCCAAGTAGATCCATCAACTGACTTGGGTACGACCAGCCTATTGGATTTGTTACATGCGAATACTGCCAGCGACTATAGCTGCTAGCAGTAATCATTGTGCTCTGCCAACCAGGAGTGCTCCCTGCCGGCAGAGCACAACAGCGCTGTGGGAAGGTTTCCCTCATCAACACTGACTGTGTTGATGGAGGAATCAAGCGATCGAATCATCTATGGCTTGCCTTATTATAGCCTCTCAGCTGATAAAAGACAACCAAGTTTCCTGAGGTTGAGCTGGACCTCAAGGACCCTGCTGTCTTATCAGCAACCATTGGGGGATCTGTCTCAGGATGGAATCAAAGACATCTGAGGCTCAATAAACCATACATGTACATGCTTAGCTGGTTGACCATAACAAATGGCAGTTTCAGATAAGTACACAAGGCACATGAAACCACTGGATTTTATTTTTACTATACAAAAAAAGACCAAAAAAAGAAAGTTTCCCTTTGTTAAAATAAAAATGCCAGAAAACTATCAAAACCCCCAAAATGGAAAGCAGACACCCAAGGTGATCTCATTTTTTGACACAATTTTATGGAAATGAAGAAGCATGCCGATACTGAGGGGGTTAAACACAGAGCTTGAGAATTGTGTACTAGATCAGCCTTTTTCAACCAGGATGCCCAGGAACCCAGGGGTTTCTTGAAGTTTCTTCCGGGCAAAATGTCTAAAAATTGCCCAAAACTTTTATACAAGCCAGCGGGTGGAACAAGCCTACCTTTTAGTTACACAAAGTAACACATCTTCTGTATTCGAGTGCCCCCCTCTGGATGAAGGGTCACAGGGGCATCTTTGGAGAGCAGTTACCGGCAGATATATACATAACAAAAATGTAACCCAAACTCCAGCTAACACTTTATAAGCAGGAACGGGAACAGTTCTATTCCTTTTGGGATAAAGGTTTTACATAACTAAAATCTGATCTTTGTAAGCACCCCTGCTAGTGTTAAACGGTTTGTCTCAACCCTCTAGTTGCTACATCTTCATGGCAGCTTGTTCTGTTGAAAAACTTGATAAATAGACATGCAAGCTAGATCACCAGGTGAATATAAAAGAAAGAAAGCCTAAAAAAAGAAAACTAATGCAGTTATCACATCTAAGTATGGGTAAGCTGCAATATAATAAATGTTGGCTTTTGGGGTTTATACTTATCTAATGTACGAGTAATGCAAAGAGGAAGATGAAAGTAAAAGGGTTAGTGTATTGGAGATGAAGGTGTTAATGTTCAGACGGGCTGTGTAAGGGAAGTAAAGGGCTATTTACAGGTGACATGGAGACAACATTAGAGCTGGTATGTGTAGCAGAGGAGGAAGGGGGGCCTGAAAGGGCAAAAAAAAAAAAAAAAATCCTTGTATCAAATGAACAGATCAGCAGCTAAAGCCACTGATCCATTCATTCTGTGCCCATTTAGAAGCACAGGGGAAGGGGAGGGGAGCAATACCATGTGATCTCTGTAATGACTAATCACTGTGATCACATGGTACTCATCCCTCTGAATTGGCTCAGTACGGTGTCTCTGTGTACCCGGCTGTCTAATGACAGCCGGTACACAGTGATTACACCGAAAATCGGACGCTTGATGACTGTTTGTCCAGTGCCATTCATAAACAGCACTGGGTAAATAAAGGGCCATCGATTTACCATTGAAACATGTACATTGGTATAGAAGTGGTTAAAGAATAACTTTTTAAGTTTTAAACAAACTTCATTTAACGTTTGCCTCAGTCTCACCTGAGGAAGCATGTATCCCCTCAGAAGGTTCACAAGGATAGCTGGAGGAGACATGGCTTCATTTGGATCACTACACAACTCAGTGTTTGCCATCCTGAAATCTACATTCATCCACTCTAGGCTATTGAGAATAAAGAGTATATTGGAATTATTTGACAAAGTGGGTAGCAGATCTCGAAGATGAAGATATTTCCTGGTGATTAGCCGTGTCAGTGACACTGGGGCAGTGACCTGGGACAGATCTTCACAGGAGAGCGGAATGATCAGCTGGAAATCAGTCGTGCGCTCATGGCACCAATCCAGGACAAGTTTTCGAATGAGGGTGCTTTTCCCAGTGCCAACTGTGCCATACAGAATAACACTTCGTACATCTTTTCCAGATGAATCGACTTGGAACATCTGAGATACAGACATACTGCGAGGACACTGCGGGGTATGCAGCTGAGTCTGGAAAGATGATTCAGACAAGGGACGCATGATGTCTTCTATGGAGCTTTCACGAATAACTGGATCCACATGGATAGAATCCAGATCAAAAGAAGGCCCAAAGTGTCGTTCCTCACTTGGTAGACAACTAAACCACTCATATAAGCGCTGCCGGTGCTGCTGAACTGGATCTAGAACGTTTGAGAAAAAAAAGTTATTGTCATGTTTTTCAAAACAAATTAATTTCAGATTTAGGAATATTCTTACCTAGAATTTAATTCAACATGTACAGCAGTCTTTCTCAACCTTTTCAACACAGAGCAACCCTTGAAATAATTTTCCAGTCTCAGAGAACTGCAGCTGAACATGACTAGATCTACAACTCATTATATATTAGTATGTTGGTCAGTGGGAAGAATGTTCCTTACACTTGTGATACCACTTCTGCCTGGCAGTAGTAGGGTCGTTGGTTTGAATCCCAACCACGGCACCACCTGCCTGGCGTTTGAATGTTCTCCCTGTGCCTGTGTGGGTTTTCCCCGGGTACTCTGGTTTCCTCCCACACTCCAAAGACATGCTGGTAGGTTAATTGGATCCTGTCTAAATTAATTGTCCCTAGTATGTGTATGTATGAATGTAAGTTAGGGACCTTAGATTGTAAGCCCCTTGAGGGTTAGGGACTGAAGTAAATGTACAATATATATGTAAAGTGCTGTGTAAATTGATGGCGCTATATAAGTTCCTGAAATAAATAAATACCATGTGATCCAGTGCAAGCAAATGCACTGCACTTGTGATCTGCATTTGGGATGGAGTTAGGATTATATTGACACCCGCAGCAGTTCATACACCCAGGTGGTTTTGAGTGTGCTGTGAGAAACATGCATGGAACACGGGATTCCCACAGCGTGTTCCAGTGTCAAGGAGGCCTTACAGCGACATTCTTCATAATCTAGAAAAAAAGGCAGCATAATTGAGAGGTCTAATCAGGTTCTCTCTCTGCTCTCCTCTCCTGTAAGCATGTTTATTGTGTAAAGCCCCGTACACACGATTAGAATATCGGACAAAATGATTATTCGTTTTTTTGCTTGCTAGTCTCATATCAAAAATGAAGAGGTTAATAAAGTTTCGAAAAATTCTTGTACGACAGAAAAAAAAAAATCAGAAGTGATGTAATGTATTGTATTGTATTTTTTTTGGATGAAAACTGTCCTGATTAAATGAAAATTGTATGATCTGATATTGTACGAGAAAAAGTTTCCTGCTTGTCCTCTTTGAATAATTTCAGACAAAAGTTGTGCACTAAAGATCAAATTATTGTACGATCGCTTAGAAAGCGGCATTTTTCATATGAAATTTCTGATCGTGTGTACTAGGCTACTTAAGACCAGCAATAGGGCAAACTATGGCAGACTGACAACATCTTCCATTGAAAAAAAGACTTCTGAGTACAGATGCAACTTATAATTCCCGAGCGTCTAGCTATCTTGGTTCTCAATTTGAATTAGCAGAGCTTCTTGCTGGAGGTGCTCCTGGACTGATGTTTCATCCCATATTAAGGCAGAAATTACATGGAAAACCAGATTTGTAGCTTATACCAAAAACATTGTCTTTGGTCGCATGATTGTATTAACCACTTGCCCTCCAGAGGATTTACCCCCCCCTTCCTGACCAGGCCATGTTTTGCGTTACGGCGCTGCATTACTTTAACTGACAATTGCGCAGTCATGCAACGCTGCACCCAAATTAAATTTACGTCCTTTTTTTCCCCACAAATTGAGCTTTCTTTCGGTGGTATTTTATCACCTGTGCGGTTTTTATTTTTTTGTGTTTTATAAAAAAAAAAAGGCCATCAGTTTTGAGAAAACAATATTTTTGACTTTTTGCTATTAAACATGTCCAGTAAAAAAATTAAAAAATTCAAATTTTGTCAAAAATTTACACCAAAATATATTCTGCTACATGTCTTAGCTAAAAAAAAAAATCCCAATACGTATAAATTAATTGGTTTACATGAAAGTTATAGCATCTACAAATGGCGGTATATATACTGGGATTTTCATTTTTACTAGTAATGGCGGCGATCAGCGATTTAGCGACACTGCGGTGGATATTCTGACACTGGGGAAACTGACTTGGTGTCATGGACATCCCTATTGACACCAATACAGTTATCAGTGCTAACAAAAAAAAAAAAAAAAAGCACTGACACTGTACTAATAGCACTGGGCAGGAAGGGGTTAACATGAGGGGCGATCAAGGGATTAACTGTGTGCAAGGAGTGTTTTACTAGGGGGTGGTGTCAGTGTGCTTCACTGTAATCACACTGCTCTGGGTGGCTGAGCTGTGCACAGCCATCCAGAGCAGTGTGCTCAGGCTGACAGGGAGGAGAACTGTTAGTAAACAAAACAGTCCTCCTCCCTGTTGGAGATCTTCAGAAATCACTGGGCGCTGATGTGTAATCTTTAAGTAAATCTTTGTTCTGTAATCCAATTGTGTAAACACTGCCACTGGACACTGGCAAACCAAGAAACCACTGGCCAGCCAGATATAACCACTCACTCCCATCATGAGCTTCAGTTTTGTAAAAGCACAGTATTAGGCCTCTTGCACATGGCAGAAAAAAAATGCTTTGCTTGCAGCCATGTAGCAAGTTTTTTTATACAGATCTGAACATAGGTACATTGTTGTTTATGTGACAATGCAAACATCTGTGCAAAAATCAGAAATGTGTTCAGAGCCATAGAAAAAAAATGAACATTTTACATTTATTTATTTTAGGAACTTATACAGCGGTGTCAATTTACGCAGCGCTTTACTTATATATGATACATTCACATCAGTCCCTAACCCTCAAGGGGTGTACAATCTAAGGTCCCTAACTTACATTCATACATACTAAGGCCAATTTGGACAGGAATCAATTAACCTACCAGCATGTATTTGGAGTGTGGGAGGAAACCGGAGTAACCCATATAGGCACAGGGAGAACATGCAAACTCCAGGAAGGTGGTGTCATGGTTGGGATTTGAACCAATGACCCTAGTACTGCCAGGCAGAAGTGCTAACCATTTAGCCACTGTGCTGCCCATTTGAGAGGAATATTTACATGCATACATGTGTATATGCAAGTTACATAGTTAGTGTGGTTGAAAAAAAGACACAAGTCTATCTAGTTCAACCAATAATAATAAGTCTATACAAGAGTATACATGTACATTACGGGCTTAAAATTTCAAGTCCTGAGCTACTAGCCAGGCCTTAGCGTTACTCACCACCAACAAACACACACACAAAACAGAGACACCTGTACACACACACAAACATGTACATACACACACACACACACACACACACACACACAGGCACATGTATACACACACAGGCACGTACAGACACGCATACACACAGATACATGTACATACACAGAAATACACACACACACATGTACATACACACACAGACACATGTACATACATACATACACAGACACATGTACATACATACACACAAACACACATGTACATGCACACACAGACACGTGTACATAGACACATGTACACACACACGTACATGTACATACACGCAGACACATGTACAATTGTACATGCATACACAGACACACAAACACACACACACCACCATCCCCACCCCCCATAAAAAGTTGCAGTACCTCGTTGTTCACTCACAGATCCGGGTACTGCACTCTAGGGGGAGGCAGAGAGCACAGCACACATTCCTTCCTTTGCTTTCACTGCGCTCAGCTATTGAGCAGTCTGACGGCTGCCAGTGCCAATGACAGATGCAGCCTGAGCTCCTAGCCTGCTCAGCAAGACGAACCTGGAGGACACACTCGCCCCCACCATAATTTCCACTCGCCATTGGCGAGCGGAAATTTCAAGCCCTGCATTACAACATTGGTAGCTAGAAGAGGATGAAGAAGAATTTGTTTTTAGGATCATAAGCTTGAACAATGATCTGTCTTAGACACCTGATGGAGCAAGAAGTTGGTTCCTCTTTACAGAGATCATAAAAATTGACATACAGTGAGTCGGGCTTTAAAATGGAAGCAGTGGCTTAGCGTTAAACCCATACAGCATCCAAGAAGTAATGGGAGATTTCCTTCTGATGTACTGAAGCTGGACAGAGAAACAGAAGAACAGTGTCCTGGTGGAGGTGAAAGGCTGAAACCACTTTAGGAAGGAAGGAGGCTCTAGGCCTCAAATCCACGTAACCCTTGTGTAAGATCTAATAGGGCTCCTTACAGGGTAAGGTTGCTAGGTCAGACACTGAAGCATGCTGTAAGTGGAAGGGATTATACTTAGGTGGCCAACAGCTTTTTGGTTTGCGTGACCAGTTCCTCCTGGAGGAGGCAGTATAACCCAATCACATCAGAATAACTACTGATCCAGTGCCTATTAATACATTTTATACATAGGTTTTAAATTATTTGCAGCACTTAGACTATTTCAAGCCATCTACTGCTACTGACAACATTACTTAATACCTTCACACAGGTAATCCCCTCTTCAGTCTATTGTGAATGCTGCTGCTGGACCAACCTCATCTTGAGATATTGCCCAAACTGTCCACTCTGGTCCTTCAAAGACATCTTGCTCTCTAACTCCCTTGTTACCTCCTCCCATGCTCGTCTCCAGAACCTCTCCCATCCTCTGGAACTCCCTACCCCAGTATGTCTGGTCCTGCCATGTCCACCTGCAGGCAATCCTTGAAATCTCTGATATTCAGGGAAGCCTACCCCACCTCCAAATAAAAACTGTACTTTGGCCACTTCCATCAGGACATCCTCCATAGCTATTACCTTTTGTAACACTTCATGCTCAATGAGCAGGGCCCTTCTATTCCTTCTGTATTGAACTGCATTGTAATTGTATCGTCTCCCTTTATATTGTAAAGCGCTGCAAAAACTGTTGGCACTATATAAATCCTGTATAATAATAATACTCACCTGCTTCCATGGCACTCAGGCTCCTGTAGGGCACAGAATAAAAAACTAGACCATTGGACTTGGAAAGGAAAGACACGCGGCAGGTGCTCCTAAAATAAAACAGCAGGAAACGGACTAAATTAGTTACAGCACACAAAGATTTAATGATCAAGTACATTGGGGATTCTCACCTGCAGGAGTTCAGTACAGACTGGCATATAAACTGCTGGTGTTTGTTTATTCCAGTTGCAGCAGAGCCAGAAAATCTGTGTATCTTGTCAATAAGAAGACTCTTCCCTCGCCCAAACACCCCCAGCCAAGACGCAGAGCAGCGAGACTGCATATTTTTTCCGCATTCAGGAAACAAGGGCCAGCAAACCAATACACCTGGGAATAAATAAACACAATTTGAAATTACACTTTTGAGCACACAAACATTTTCATACAAACAACCGTTTGTCCTTCACCCATTGATTTTGTGACAATTTATGTGTACAGGTCACTTAAGCTGACCATATATTATACAGTTTTCTTCTTCAATTTCCTTTAGATTTACCTTCAACTTTGTAGTGCAAGGGCCTGCCTGACTGCATAAACAATGGAAGTGTTTAGGTTTGACTGCATATTACATGGCTTTGGTAAATCTAAAGGAAAATTGTACAAGACAATTCTATAATGTATGGCCAGCCTTAGAAAGAATATTACAATTTCTCCAGTACTGCAAAAAAACTGCACAGGCGTCATTTTTTTAATTAACATTGAAATTTGTAAAATGCATGTAGACCTTTTAATGTTTACAAACTGATATTGTACATCAATTTTAATATTTGTCTACATGTTTTGTTTCCCAGGAAAACATTGAAGTCAAATCCTGGGCAATTAGTTTTTAAATTAAAATGGGCCCTGAGGCAGGATAAAAAATACAAAAACAGCTCAGATTGCAATATTCACCATTAAAGTGTTACTAAACCCACAACAATAAAATCAGTCTGTACAGGATATGATGTAAAGCATGCTTGTTATACTCACTGTGGAACCTAAGGAGCTAATCCTCTGCATTGTGTAAAAAGGATGTATGATCCTGTCCTTCTGATCCTCCCCTTCTTCCATGTTCCCCAATTTCATCTCCTGATAGAATACAGCCTCAGGAACACTCTGCACATGCTCAATTTGGTGCGTATTGCTAGAGAGTTTTTTCTTTTTCTTGGGAGGGTGCATGGAATTAGCAAAGGGCCAATCAGCAATGTCCAGACAAAGGGTCACGGATTATGCAATCTCATAGGGCAGTGAGAGGTGAATGAAAACTCCTCCTACAAGCTTTAACCAGTACTCAGCTGGACACTGATAGAAGTCACAAGACTGCTCTAACTGCTGCTTAGAAAAGGTATTTAGCAATTTATATTTACTAAAATAATTGCATTTCCCTGTTCTGTGTATGGTGGGAGACCAGATAAAGTGAATGCTGGTCCGGGGTTTAGTAACACTTTAATAAGGAACTTTCCAAATTAGTACTTCTATTTTACCACAAGATGTCCTCAGTCTTCCACACTGAATAGCACCCAGAGGCACTGATCCCAGAAGAATGAAGAATACTATAAGCCCGGGTTCACAATAACGCAGTGCTGAATTCACAGTGTTTTCTGTGCAAATTCCGCACAGCATCAGAATCGCACCCCATTCATGTGAACCGACGCGAGTGTGTATGTTAACAACACCCCGAAATCGGTCCGCAAAACGCAGTGCAATGTGCAGAATTGGATCGCATAGGTGTGAATACCCACGCGATCTGAGTCTAGTGTTGACCCAAAAAAAGGGTCCTGCACCCTTTGGGTGCGGTGCGATTTCAGCCATACATAATGTATGGCTCCAATCGCACCACACACAGATCGCATGTGATTTGCATAGGAATGCGGTGCGGTTCCCGTGCGAATCACATGCGATGTGAACCTAGCCTTAATCAGTGATGGCAAAACTTTTAGAGACCGAGTGCCCAAACTGCAACCCAAAATGTACTTATTTATGGCAAAGTTCCAACACTGCAATTAAACCTGAGGTTTTAGTTTAGAAAAAACAACCCATACATTAACAAAATTTGTCCTAAAAAGAAAAAAACACACAATAACAGAGCTTCCACTGAGCACCAGCACAAGGGTGCAAAGTTCCACTGAGCGCCGGCACAAGGGGGCAAAGTTCCACTGAAAGCCGGCACAAGGGGGCAAAATTCCACTGAACGCCAGCACAAGGGGGCAAAGTTCCACTGAACGCCAGCACAAGGGGGCAAAGTTCCACTGAGTGCCAGCACAAGGGGGCAAAGTTCCACTGAGCGCCAGCACCAGAGTGCAAAGTTCCACTGACCACCAGCACAAGGGGGCAAAGTTCCACTGAGCGCCAGCACAAGGGGGCAAAGTTCCACTGAGCACCAGCACAAGGGGGCAAAGTTCCACTGACCGCCAGCACAAGGGGGCAAAGTTCCACTGACCGCCAGCACAAGGGGGCAAAGTTCCACTGACCGCCAGCAAAAGGGGGCAAAGTTCCACTGAGCGCCAGCACAAGGGGGCAAAGTTCCACTGACCACCAGCACAAGGGGGCAAAGTTCCACTGACCACCAGCACAAGGGGGCAAAGTTCCACTGACCACCAGCACAAGGGGGCAAAGTTCCACTGACCACCAGCAAAAGCTAAAATCTTGTGTTAATAAAAACGAATGTATTAAAACTCACAGTCAGTCCAATATATATATCCTTGGCAGCTCACTGACCAGCCATGCGGAAGCTCGAACAAGTCACAGCTAATGAGTCGCGGCTTGTGATGTCATCACCTGGCACCGCTACTCCTTTCTGAGCATGTGCATTGGTCTCTATGTGCACTGTTATCCAATGCTCAGCTGCTAAGTCGATGCTGGGGTGTCTTGGCTCGCGTGCCGACAGAAGGCTCTGCGTGCCCACTGCGGCACGTGTGCCATAGGTTCGCCACCACAGCTATAAATGAATGGGTGTCATGACCCCGCCTCCCAGGAAGGCAAGATCACCCAACCCATCATTGATAGTGGATTGAAGCAGAGAGTGGAGCTGATGTCATCACCAGGACAACTAATGGCCAGAGAAGAGTTTTTGAGGAATAAAGGAACAGGATCCAGCGCGTCACATGACAGGCCTGAAGACATCTGAAAAAAGATAAAGCAAAACACACACTGTGGGGGGCCTCTGGGTGGGGGCTTATCCCATGAGTCGGGCTTCAAATACAAACTGCTTGCGTGCTTCAGTGTGTTCAGTACATGCTAACTGTCAAATAAAAATAAAAATACAGCACTAGCGCTGCTCGTTTATTTCTACCTCCTCAGCTGTGTAACCAGAGACCCTTCTATTCTTGTCTAAAGAGCAGTAAACCATCTATTTGAAACTTTATAGAAAAAGATTTATACTAAGCACCTGCCAGTTGTGAAAAATGGAATGTGAAAAGTTTATTATTAAGCAGAAAATCACCAGCGCCAAAAAAAATATTGTAAAATAATTCCCAATGTGTAAAATGCTGCTGCTCCTTAGTGATACCACTAATAAAATAAGAAAAAAAAATATATAAAACAGCACAAACAGATATTAAATATACATATACTGTATATCAACTCCCAAAAACTCAATTAGTGCAGAAAATATTTTTTTTGTTGAGATAGTCCCACTCCCAGTATATTAGATAGGATAAAGTCCTTATTCCAAGACCCTTGACCAGTATTCACACCCATAAGTGTTATTATCACACACGGCACTCACCAGATATAGGTGAATGAAACGCCTTAAATTTTGGACTCAGAAACCCAAGATACCGATACCCCTCGGATCAGCCCCAATCTCAAGGGGCCATCTTGCTTGAGGGAGAAATAACCTGTGTCGTTACATGCTGTCATCTATTGCTGACTGTGAGATCTTTACCCTGAATATGTGGGGGTTTGACTCCTGATACACTAAATAAATGCTGATTACATTCTTTTAAAATGTGAGTGGTTTGGTATTTGAATTTATCCTGTCTGAGTCTTACAGTACTACACTATATTTTCTTTTCTCTGCACAAATTACCAATTCTTATGGAGAGTGATCTTTGCTCACCCTGGAGGTTGGAGGCTGAATAAAATTCCACTGTGGATCTCTGAGGCATTAAGAGAAAGGCAATAGTCTTACCTACAACTTGGGATTTCTACCTAAACCTTGAGATTGGAGGCTGATCCGAGGGGTATCTTGGATTTCTGAGTCCAAAATTGAAGGCGTTTCATTCACCAATATCTGGTGAGTGCGGTGTGTGATAATAACACTAATGGGTGTGGATACTGGTCAAGGGTCTTGGAATAAGGACTTTATCCTATCTACTATATCCTATCTACTATACTTGGAGTGGGACTATCTCAACAAAAAAAAATCTCTGCACTAATTGAGTTTTTTGGGAGTTGATATATATGTATATTTAATATATATATATTTTTCTAATGTGAAAAGTTTACATGCTTAAAAAGCAAAAAAAAAAATATATAATTCTTTACTTTTGAACATAATACAAAAAACATCAGCCCATTTATTATGACAAGTACAAAATGATAAAGCACGCCGCACCCTAAAGTAGTGGTCTCCAAACTGCGGCCCACGGGTCGGATATGGCTCTTTGCTTGCCTTTATCTGGCCCTTGGTTTCTCGCACTGACAACAGGTTGAGGCATCATTCCTTCTACTGACACCAGTAGGGGGGCATAATTCCTCCCACTGACACCAACGAAGGGGCACGGTTTCTTCCATTGACACCAATGAATTGGGCATGCTTCCTCCCACCAATATCAATGATGGGGAATTATTCCTCCTCCTACTAACCACAGGCACTTTGTAATTTTTGTATTCCTACTGACCACCAAGCCTGAGGAACTGTTTACTTCCACTGACGCTGGGGCATGTTCTACTCCACTAGCCACAGTTCAGTCCCGCTAAAGCTTGAAGGACAGTAAACTGGGCCTTTGCCTGGAGAGTTTGGAGACCTCTGCCCTACAGGATACTTCTGCCATAATTATATCACCATATGCATAATTAGTCTTATCCTTAGAACGTAGGTGCTCCCCCCCCCCCCCCCCAATAATACCCTTTTTGACCTTAATTGGAGCCAGCCCCTTGAAAAAAAACAAAAACACAGCACTGGAGACTTCTCCAAATGTTAATCCTGATTAAACTGACAGCATGAAAGTGCATTTGATTGCTTTTTATAAATAAAGTATTATGGATTGCTGCACAAGGAGGAGGTGATGCTCTCTATTTAAATATAGAAATAGTGGTGGAATCCCCCTAAAGTCCATGCAGCTAGCTTACAGCACAGAC